GGCGGCACGGGCAGAGCCTCGCACCCCTGTGCCGCTGCTGTCCGCAAACTCCCCGTGCCCGGGGCTGCTCTCCCTTCGCAGCCAGAGGCCAGCAGCCCACCCTGGCCATGCGTGGCTCAGGGGCTGCCAGCTCGGGCTGGTGCTCGCCCAGCGGCACCCCTACTCCCCGTTTAGGAGCGCGCCATCCTCCTTCACCTCACCTCTTTCCACCTCAGCAAAACCCTTCTGCGTTTACGGATCGGCCCGCAGTGCCTGAGCGCGGACGCTCTTTGCGCACACCAGCGCAACGCCAGCCCTCCCAGCAAACCCGAGCCACAGCAGCAGGCGCCCGGCAGCAGAGAGGCACCGCCGCCATTTGATAGTGGGATGCTGATCTGCCTGCCATGCTTCTACTCTGGAAGGGCAATCCCTCACCTCCTGGCAGGACAGACAAGTCCAGATCCTTCTTTTTTTTTTTTCCCCATTTGTTTGCTTTCGTTTTACATTTAAAATCGGCATTTTGTGGATGCCTGCACTCAAAGACAGCCAACAACTCCTTACGAAATCCTCTGAACACTCAGCGTGTCATTCGTACAATAGCAAAAGGCCAACAGTTAAAAAATACTCTGGAGCCAGGAAATATACAATACGTTCAATAACAAAAAAATATAGATATAAAATACTTGCTTTAAGGCTGTGTACAGTTTAACTGAAGATAATCTGAGGACATTAAATTGCTCAGCAACAAAAGAAATGTGGGAAGAAAATTCCTTAATGTGGTGGTGAGGGAAAGGCAGCAACAAATATCCTGAAAGATTGTGTTGATGCTTCTAGAAAATATTTTTAGTAAAATATGATCCAGACAGACGGAGAGTCCGAAGCGCGGGGCTGGTGCTGCTAGTCCAGGATGAGCTGCTGCCTTGCGCGGTGCTGCGAGCCGGTCCAGCTCACTGCGGCCCTTGGGTCGCTCGCCGTTCCTCGAGCATCCTGCACACCCACATGGACACCACCTCTGCGTTCCCATCGTTGTACTGCACGATGAAGGGGTGGCCCTGGAAAGCAGGATAGGCAGAGTTAGCCAGGCTAAACACGTGAAAACCCAAAAAGGTTTGGTTTTTTTAATTTTTGGGGGGAAAAAACATATTGGAACATCCTGTGGTTACAGTCATAGAAATGCAATAAACCAGTGACTCAAACCAGTGAACGTCCTCTTGGATCCATGTCATCCACATACATTGTGCATACGGAGAAGGGAGGGCTGGGGGAACCCAGGCTCCTTACTGAGCCTAGCACTCCTTGGAAATACGTGGTTTTGGGTTTTTTTTTATGTTCAATTAGCTCATTGTGTTTTGAATCAGCTCCTTTCTAGGATGGCTTGCCAGGCTGCTCAGCTTCCAAATGATGTTTTGGTAAAAAGATATTCTGACAAAAACATTAATCTACGAGTCTGCTTGTAAAGGTCTCTCTGTTAAAGTTTCTCTCCTTTGTGCACCTCTTTCACACGTATTATCCGCGTTCACAACCTGAACTGCTTCGTTTGCGGAGCAGAGGCTGCACCGCGCCCCTTGGCATGCGAAAACGCGCGGGCGCCCCACTTGGTGTGAAAACGCGCGGCTATATGAATGCCACATCCACTTATATTTGCGTCCTTGCCTTTTATCGGTGGAAACCTTACGCCTCACCCTGTGCGCAGGCGTCCCTTAAATGGATGGCCCTACAAATTACCTAGGAAAAATCCAATATCCCTGCAAGTGTTAAATTCCTCTTGTTACTTGGTCCTCGAGCTCTGTGCCTGCAGACGCAGCCGGACCAGGCGCCAGGCTCTGCAGCACTCGCAGCGTCCATACGGAAAGGCATTTGTTCACGCACATACGTGCTAGTACACGTCATTTGGAGTGATCGAGTGATATAGATATGAAAATATCGCCCAAGTATAACTGAAACAGGTCTTCGTGAGAAGCTACGATGGAAATTAATGGAAAGAGGGAAAACTATAAAATATTCTCAGCCATGAATTATATGGCTACTGCAGGCACTGGAAGACTGTGTCTTAGACACCTCAGAAAATCAGAACAGCATCTCAGGATGGAACAAAAATATGGCCTGCAATTTCAGCAGCCAGCTTAGGCAGCTCATGTCTCAATCTGGCCACATTCCTAGAGATGGGAACATGCCATCTTCAGATGAATCTCAAATGAAGTATAAAAATCCACAGGAAACCGAGTACCGCAATTACATAAATGACTGAAAGAAAGCAATCGCCAGGAGAAACCATCACAGATGATGAAAACCTCTACTCCAAATCACTCAAAAGCAGCTCAGTTTTTGCAACACTAAACTTCATTGCTCTTGCAAACAACGCCTGAAAGTAATCAGAGGAGATCTGCTGGGGAGCCGCTGGGGAGGGTGACGTACGTGTGGGAATTACCGGCGCACGCAGCCCGACGCCAGCCGCAGCGGCCAACGACGGCAATCGGCACACGGAGAGCGAGCGCGGGTCTGACGCAGGGCCCGGGAAGCCCGGTGGTCGGCTGGGTTAGAAGGGCACCAAGCGGAACAACGAAGCAGCACCAGGCTAAATAGAGCACAATAAATCCTCGCAGCATCAGCTCGAAGCAATAAAACACTGTGCGGGGCCAGGGCCAGCAAACGCAGGAGCCACAGGAATAAAATATGCCATTATCTGCAAGAATTATGGAGAAAGCATGAGACGCTGTTGCTTCAGCTCTTTGGGATGGCTTTGGATTCTTTGGAATCTCAGCCAAAACTTTTTAGGGAGGAATCTGAGATGTGGAAAGCCCTTCTTCAGATCTTACTGGGACCAGCTCAGCTGCTTTCCCAGTTAGCCTCGTGGAGGAAAGATGGAAGGAATATTCTGGTGGAGTGACTTGAGCAAGAGGTCCACCACCAGGAGAACATGATGCATAGACTATGCCATGAAGAATTACAGATGTCCAAGTGTTTTATTTCACCACACTGGCTTTAGGTGCCCTGAAAGCTGCCTTACAGCCCCGGGCCTGAGTTTCTTTGCAGCACGGGCTCCCGCCAGCCACAACCCCAGGACTGGGCAGAACGGCAGCTTTCCCCTCTGTGCATGCATCGGTGGGATGCTGGCCGCACCTCCACAGGCTTCTGGCAAAGGCAACGCAAGAAGGGGCAATGTAAGAGGCACGGTGACCCCAGCCTGCACACACGGAGCATCCTCCATCTCAGCAACATCCTGGCACCCAACAGCTCAGCCTGAAACCGGTCCTGCTCCAGCACCAGGAAAGACGCTGCTGCCGGGATTAGCGGAGGTGCCGATGGGCTCTGCCACCCTGTGTTTTAAGCTCAGAGAAGAAAATCAACACATAGCAATCTCCACGCCAGTAGGGTCCCCAAACAGGCAGCTACAGGTCCCCGTAGCCCACAGAGCTGGCACATTGCTTGGTCTTTATTTCCTCTCACATTGCAATCTCTGCTGTACTCTCCCTGAAAATGTGGCTCCTTCGCCATGAAGATGGAGGAACACCGTGGTGAGAGGCAGGACAGAGCTAATAAACACATAAAGAACTCATCAGTAGTTGTTGGGAGCCGCTTCTCATTTCCATTCATCTCAAAGGACTAATTCCCACAATTAAGCTAGTGAGAGTTGAGGTGGTGCAGCCCACAGACAAGAAGTGTATTAAGAGGAAAGGATAAGATTAAAAAAAGGTGAGGGAGAGACCCAGAAAGTGGGGAAAAAAGGAGAAGCAAGTTTGCCTGTAAGCTAATAAAGAGCTGGGAGGTGGTAGGAGACACCGCTGCACCAGTCAGGATGTTTACTGGCTTAATCTCTCAGCTATGAAACAGATCTGCCTTTGGAAGTACTTAAATGAAACTTTTCCCCATCCATTCATCAGAGTGTAAGAGACTGCGCAGGTTTATGCGGTGAACCACACGACAAGCGTGGCCAGACGCTGGTGGAGAGAAAAGGGTTTAATTTAAACAACCGTACCCCAGTCACCTCCCAACAAACCTCACTGCTGATCACCAGTGAGCATATGAAGAATTGCAATAGCTGCTGGCACAACTGCGAGAGCAAACGCCATGATGTCGAAAGGTCTGTTACGATCTGCCAGCGCGAGAACTACACCACAGGCCGAGCACGGTGCCGGCGACTGGGTGTGCACGATGCACCAGGACCGCTCACCCCCAACACGTGTTTCCTCCCCAGCGCTCAGCCATTGCCCTGCAATGTCTAGGGCAGCAACAGTTGGTATTTCAGCCTGGACAGGGAGAAGCTGCACTCATGGGTTTCCTCTCCAGTATCAGCCTGGCCTGGTCATGCCGGTGGTCTCCACTCCTTGGATTTCTTTATTTACCAGGTGCACACAACAGACAGCCTCTGGGAATGCCTTACATTCCAACTGCAGGCTCTGACCCGATGCCTGCCCTGCTTTTTTCCCCAAGGAAGGCTTCAGCCTGCTCAGTCTATAACTCAGATTTGAAATAGGGGGAAAAAAACAAACATGCCAAAAGTCTACAGAATCTGAAAGACCCCACAGTCACTAGGGTGAAGCTACAACAGGAACGGCACGGTTGCAGTCTGAAGGAAGCTCCTGAGTTTTCCTACGTAAAACTCCTTTTGAGTGAAAGCCCACATACATGGGGACGCGCGCATCCCGCAGAAAACCACGGGATGCCAAAGTCTGCAGATACAAGATCACCCGACTCCTGCAAACTGGAGGCTGCAGCACGACTCTGGTGTGATTACAGGTTTCCAAAGCAAAGTCAGTTCAAAGAACTTGCTTTCCCCTCCTCAGATTTGCCGTGCTTCCCACGGGCTCGAGCTGCAAGCCCTTAATTTTATCTCCAGGCCTTTGAAATTGTGGGCAGCTGCCACCTGCCATTGCAATCGACCTTTCCGAGTTTGCTCTTTGTAACTGCTATAGAAATAGCTGTTTTCCTCCCAATATTCAATTTTTTGAAGCAAATTGCTTCCTTTCAGCCATTCTTAGCTGTAGACAGCAACTTTAGATTTGTCAGAGCTCTCTGAATTTCCCAACCAGGCAGATGCGTGTGGGCTCACAGTCAGTCATTGCTTGGAAAATGGTCTACCAAGGAAGAAGAACATATCCAGAGGCACCAGAGTCCATTTGAGAGCTTTGAGGATGGCAGCGGACAGTTCAGTGCTACCAAGAGAAGATGGATGATCTTAAAATGATGCATTTAAGTACACAGATGCTTGCGGCACTGAGCATATGGACAATGTCTTTTTTCCTTCCAACACCTGGCTATCAGAAATCTTCAGCTTTGCTCTTCAATGTCTAACATCAGGAATAATACCAAAGAAATACCGCACCCTCTTTTTTTTAACCTCCTACTCCAGATATCCCATGTACATTTGGGTTTCACTGTTTTACTAAACAAATTCAATCTGAAATGTTCCTGGTTTTATTGATTCTTACCTATGAAAACAACTCAGGAGAGGCCACGATCGGGAACCCAGAGGCAGGACTCCCGGAGTTTATTCCCAAGCTGCCACATACTTTCCAGCACGATTTTCACAAAGGTGCTTCATCTCCCTCATCCTCGTGGTTAAAAAGGGAATAAATGATTCTGCTGTCTCACAAGACTGCTGTGAGAATCAGTGCAAGCGTGTTTTACCCAGCACTTTGGGTGCTGGGCACATTTTTGGGTGCAAAAGGTGCAAGAGTTAAGGGTTAGCATGTTTTTTGTCAGTTGGAAGGGACCTACAATGATCACCCAGTCCAACCTCAAGGTAAAGGCTTAATATAAGCAAGATAGCCTAGAAGTAGCTGTTTCACCTCTTAAACAAAACAACAGCCAAGGACGCTAGTGAGAACCAGGGAAAAACAATCAAGAGCCCGCAGACAAGGAAGAGCAGATGCATTGGGGCAATTAAAAACCAGCTATTAAAGCCAGTCCGCTTCTCCCATGAATCTGCTTTACGATGGAGAGACTCCCTGCAGAGGAAGGCATCTCACACCCAGTATATCCTTGCATTTAAGCTACTCGCAACATGCAAAGAGAAATTGCAGGCTATGCAAGGCTGAAAATGTCAGCTAGC